GCTTAATGCTAGCTAATAGCATGCTATGTAGCAATTAGCCTAGCTTCCGAATATGATTCTACAAAAAAAAAGCAACTAGTTTGGAGTTGGCGTCCACATTCACTGTGATTAATTTATAAATTGAATGAACAGCAAGAGAACACCAATGCTAATAGAAGCTTCCTCCTTATATGAAGCATTAAAATACTGTAGGTAGCGTGTTTTGAACATCCTGGCACAGAGTCTTCATGGTTAAATGCAAAAATGTCTCTGTCCCAACGTTACAAATTTGGAAAAGCAACTCATTCCCATTGTGAAGTACGATGGAAGACCTGGGATGTTTGAAAAATAAAAAAGGCTTTTTCTCAAGACAATGAGCCAAAATATGTCAAAATAATGATTTAGACACTTTGAACATCAATCAAAGAGTAACTGTTAAGTGGATTCTCCAACCTTGTAAAAAGTATTGTCTTTATGCAAAGTATCGGCAGAAGTGGTACCATTCCTTGTATCAAACAAGATTTTATTTAAAAAAAAAAACATCTTGAGGAAGTGTGTTCTCCAAGCCTGAGGGCATCCATCTTTGTTTTTAACAAACCACCTTAACCAATGAGCTTACACGGCTAATTTCAATCCACCAAATCGATTTATACCATTAGAAATGCGGGAGTACAACAGCTTTGTACTATAATGGCTTTTAATTTGGGTTTTATTCAAGGCATCTTTTAGCTTTTCCTCTCCATTTTATGGCGAAATAAACAAGCTAATGGTAGCTAGCATATCAACTGCCTTGAAGGAGATGCTGTATTAAATTTGGTAACTGAGGCTTTAAAGTGGTACAGTTAAAAATAAACTACAGCCAAAATAAAAGTAGCTCTGCAAATAAACTGCTCCATGCGGTGCTTGTGCAGGTTAAAGGCCGCAGACCGATGCTGTCGCTTCTGGCCCCGACTCAACCCTGACACCCTTTCTGCATCCTTCGCCTCCCGCTGACAGGAAATGAGACACGAGTCGCACATATTCGACCTTGTCTGCCCCTGCGATAATCCCCGCCGGCAGGGTGAGGGGCGATGATTTGTGTCCGCGGCCAGAGGAACCGACACGCTTGCGCTCTCCCTGCAAAGCGAGCGGGTGTGCGATGATGTGTTTATGGAGACTCCGTGTGTTTTTAACGTCGGGCTCTCCGGGTCCGTTTCGGAGCACGCCAAGCCATCTTGGCTGCATCAACCACAGAGGAGCCTCACATCCTCCTCCTCCTCCCTCCCTTTATTATAGGTTGGACTTGCGCTGGGCTCCAGGGTGTCAGCCTGCACAGGGTGTGTCTCCAATCCAAACTTGGACACACACATCAGTTCGTGCAAACGCCCTCGTGCGAGACGCAGTCACATCCCGGCCGCCATTGTTGTGGGCCCTTTCTGAGAGCTCTTGTTGGCTCCTCGCTCTGTCTGTCCTGGTCAGAATAAAGGCTGCTGATCCGGCTGAGTGTTTGTGCTCCAGCTGGTCGCCTCCTCGAACAATAGAAGGGACACACACACACACACACACACACACACAGGCGCACAATGGACCTTGATGCAATCGCGTGCGTTCACAGCAGGCCTCTCGTGGAAGCGAGGACGAGGCCAAGATGGAGGAGTTGTTTGGGCCTGTTCGCTCGTGGTCGAGGATCCCACTTTTGGTTAAGAAGGATGTTGAGTGTGTGGCTGATCCTCCCCTCGTTTATCTGTGTGAGCGTCACAAACTGATCAGCAGAGCTAAATCTGTTCGAGCTGCAGGCCTCTGCTCCGTTTCGTCTCCACTAGGCTCATCTGCCCTCTAAAAACATCTCTGTTCGGTCCTCCAGGGGTAACATTTGGAAACGGTTTCAGTTCAAACACTGAGCTGTAACGGCCTCCCCTGCGTGTTTCCACTGAAATGAGCTTTCGCTGAAAATATCCAGGCAAATAGGAAACGAGACCATAAAGGACATATTCAAATCATATGTTGGTTCAGTTTTAAAGGATGACCGCCGCATGCAAACACCCTCGTTTGGAATTTTGTGTTTGATTTCCCTCCAGGTCATTGATGAGTTATCAGAATATCAAGCCTTTTCACGTATCTAGTAAAAATCTTTCGATCTTTAAACCTGGACTCTTTATTAGTCCAGATTCTGGTTGGGCTTGATGATGTTATAGAAACATTTAAAAGCTTCTCAGACAGTAGATATAAAGTAGTGACTGCGAGTTTATTCTATGCGTTTATTAAATTCACATGCACTAGTTGTGTGTGAATGTGAGGCAGCAGATGTGTCGTTTCTACAGTAACCAACGGGAGCCGTTTCTGCTCGAGGTCGCTGACCGATCGGCCAACGCGGCGAGGCTTTCGCCATCCTCTGGCAGATGAACTCGGATTTCGTTTTCTCATGTGCTCCTCTTCTTCCTCCTCCTCCTCCCCGCCATATGGTTTCCATTACGATCCCTCCGTTCTCTTCCCCAGTCGTCTGTGTTTGCGTTTTGTGCTGCAGTCGTGCACGAGTGTGTCCCAGCGCGTTTTCTGCAGAAACTCAATCCAACGTTTTGTAAGCTTGTGAGGTTTCAGATTTGGGTGCAAAGGGGGGGGCAGAAAAAAGCAAAGGAATGCGTGGAATAACACCTTCCCCGCTTCAATACGTTCACCGACATGAGCAGAGTCGAAAACCAAGATGGAGGGACGATGTTGGAGCCGGGGGGCTGGGAGGGAGTGCGTCATGTGTGAACAGAGATGGAGGGTGAAACCATGACTCCATTCGTCTTTTCTCAAACAGGTCTTTCTTTTCTCGGCACACGTTTACTCAGCGCCCAATCACGGCCCATGAGGCCTCTGGCTATACGTCCAGCCACGCCGTGACCTCAGCCTGGACAATGGGCCGCATTGTCCGCTATGAAGTATCTGTGTGTGTTCATCCGGCGGCTGAGTCATATTTGTCCACCACTTTGCTGCTGTTGAAAGCCGGAGCGAGGATGGCGCAACGTTTGATGGCGTCTCTTGTCCTGGGCCGACTCTCTAAAGTGGTCCAAGCGAGTCGCCGGCCAAGCTAAAGCGTTTGGACTTGTTTTCTGGACTCTGAGATATTTCTGGAGGAATTTCCCACTCGTGGGCTTCAGTTCATAGTGGCGACTTCAGATGGTGACGCAAAGTTAAAAGTTTTTCTTTTCTTTTCTGGAAACTACAAACTCAAATATTCTGTTTGAGAGTTTGTGATAAAAGCGACACTGGAGAAATCTTTCTTCTAGACGGATCGTTTATCTTGATAAAAGTATTCATGTTTAGGTCAATTCCAATTAATGATGCTGAACAAAAAAACTCAAGACTGATAGCATTACCAGGAGTTGTTTTCACTATTTTCTCCCCTTTGTTCCTCCAGACTGTCAATAAATATCTGTAAATTTGTGAAGTTATCCAAAAACAGAAGGGATTTTTTTGTTTTGTTTTGATGGGTTTTTATTATCATTAATAAACATTAACCAATTCAGATTGACGGCCATAAGGAGATCTTGTGGCGCATTGAATCATTTTGATGAAATAAAATATCGATCCAGTTGAACATGTCGACGCGCTTCAGCCAAGCGATCTTTAACCTCCAGAATCAAGTTGGGCTCTTATTTTGAAGTAACTAACAAAGCAGTTCTTGATGCAAGACTCTTTAACTTTAAACAGCATTGCAAAGACTTGAATGAGACATGAACAGTTAGGAGAAATTATGACATTTTGCGTCAGAGTTGGCTCTGGTTGCTGAAGTTGCCGTCTGCCCTGAATCTTTCTGTTGCCACTAAACGGTGCAACTTTTGGTGGTTTGGGGAATTTCATTTGTAGTTACAAATCAAAGTGACGGATCAAATGTTACAAAAGCTGAAAGTGCATCTCGCCATGTCTGCAATAGATTTGGTTACCATTTGTTTTAATTTAGAATAAAAGTAAACTGAAAGTTCCTTCTTTTTTTTTTTTTTTCCCCGATGGTCATCAAATCCCCAACCAGAAGTGACATTTTCAGTAAAACCTTGTTGTTGAGAAGGAAATGATACATTTAATGTCTTTCCAGTTGCCTTGGTGTCACGTCCTCATCGAAGCGTCTATTAGAGTTCACTGTGGCGCGTTGTAGTTCCTGATTGTTACCAGGAAGTAACTTTGTACATGGATTTTATCAGTTTCTGGGTGAGTTGAGGCGGTGATGATACTTTGGGTTTTTCATTACAGTTTAGTTTTTCGTCCAATTTGCTTAATTTTAATTATTTTTTTAGAGAGCGTTTGCTAGTTTCTGTCAGCTACGAGTTTAAATCTTGTTTGGTTTTTATTCATGCTATTTTGGTGTTTTATTTTTTTCTCCATACTTTGGATCATTTTTAGGTTCAGAAGTCAAAAAGGTCCAAGTATTGATTATGCATCCATTGATTGGGTCATGAACACTCAACAGAAGTTGCAATTAAAGAAAAAAAAGTATTCAGTTATTATTGAATAACCCACTGACTCTGGTGTTTTCTGCCAACGTCTGCCGTCACTATTTGGCAGCCGGCAAATCAGCTGATTTCACATCGGATCGATTCGTAAACATGAAAAACGAAGGGCGTCGCGTCTACCTTCGGTACGTTTCAGTTTTAGAAACGCACCACATAGTTACAGCATTAAAATAGGGAATTGTAACAATCATGGTCACCAGAAGCCTTTTTCTTTTTGCCGACATGGCGTTAAAGTTGCCCCTCTGTGTGGAGCGGTCACCTCGTTACGGTGCGACCTCTGACTGCTGCTCGCCGTCCATCCCGACTGCTGACCCTTTGAAGCCCGTCGAGGTCTGACAGATGTGGCCATGTGTGCAGCTGTGTGAAATCCCTCTAATCTCGGCCGTCTGATGTTGCTCATTTAGTCCCTCTGATCCTGACCACAGGATGTGTGTGTGAGTGTGTGTGTCACCGGTCAGCCCAGCTGCCCGCCCACCTCATGATGGATTTGGTAACCGACTCCCCTCACCAACCTCCTCCGTTCTGTCTGCTCCTTCTCTACCCCTCTAGGGATGGACCTGTCTGCCAATCAGGACGAGGAAAGCGACCAGGAGGTGTTCCAGGTGGAGATCTGCCGTGAGAACAGAAAGTGTGCGTTCCGGACCGCCGCTGGGAAGTACTGGACCCTCACCGCCAACGGAGGCCTGCAGTGCACCGCCTCCAGCAAGTAAGAGTCCATCAGCAGAGCCGCACCTGTCCCCCGTCTGTCTGGGACAGGAAATCTGTCCGGGCGCAGTGTTTGGTGTAACAGGAGCTCTGGGTTCCTACGGGGGGAGGGGAACAATGAGTGGGAGGTTAAGAGTGGGTGACCTCCAGTCCTGGCAGTGGCATGTTGTGGAAGATACTATGTGTGTGTGTGGGGTGGGGAGTGTTTTCTTTTGTGTGTAGTAGTTCTTTCCGAGCAGGGAGCTGGCTGTTGACCTCTGACCCCGCCCTCCCCCCCATCCAGTTTTCCAGAAACGAGTCCCAGTTGAGGCTCCTGACCCAGGATTAAAGATTCTTCACCCCGAGTTACAGAAAGTGGACCGGTGTCCAAGGCGTGAACGTCAATCACAGGTTATTGGAAGCCAGTTTAGCTCAAACGCTTCGGCGGGTTTATGGGAGGCAGAGATTGCTCTCAGACGGCAGCGATATCTGGATTGCCCCCCGTTACAAATGAAACGTTACTCGAAGCCAGGAGACGGGACGGGGGTGGAGGGGTCACGGCTCCGAGTCCTCTGCAGGAACTTCCCCACATTCCTGCAACGAATTCCTGAGATTTGGCTCAACTGAGTCCTCAGACCACAGGAATCTGATCTCTCACCAGATGTGGACAAACAACGCCGAACGCTATTATTTTTTACTTATTTAATTGCATTCTCTAAAATGTAGCAACACTGGTTATATATATGTTTCTGTCTCTTAATGTCTCCAAATTAAGAAACGACTCAACTGATCCAATTAGCATGTGATGGCAGCGAACTTGTGCGTCGCGCTGCAGCAGTAGATCAGCTGCTGTAGCTGCAGTCGTTCAATCCGACATTCGGCGACGCCACAGGCCGTTTTCACACATAAAAAGAACAGCAAATTAGTTTGGCTTAAATGTAGCTGTTCTCGCTTTACTTCAGAGGTAAATTAATCGGCACAGAATCCCAGCCGCTGGACGTCCAGCGTGACGTCCAGGACGCCCACGGTGCCCGAGACCAGAAGGTTCTCGCGCCTCCGTGGAGATGCGGAGTTTATTTTCCCCGACGTCACCTTCTCAATGACATTGAGGTACAAGCAAATATTGTGCTTTCTAACGGCTCCAACTTCTTTTTAATCAACTTTAACAGATCGCTCGGTCGTAGCCTGGAGCCAGTTCAGTCGAGGACAAACTCCTGCGTGTTTTAGAGAAACCCTGAACTCGGCTCCTTGTTTTCGTTCGTGCGAGGGTGTCGACAGTGAGTGATCTGTTTTTTTTTGTTTGTTTTTTTTTTTTTTCCTTTTTCTTAATTTATCGCTCCTGGAAGTCATCCATGTTTGCCAGAGACAGACGAGAGCCGACCGTCGGGGCGCCGCAAACGACGGCGTGGCGCGACTCATCCGCTCCCGACGCGCGCGCTGAACCCTTCTGTCTGTCCTTCCGCAGGTCCACTAACTGCTACTTCGACATCGAGTGGCGTGGGAAGCGGCTGACTCTCCGCGCAGCCAACGGGAAGTACGTGGCGGCCAAGAAAAACGGCCAGCTCGCCGCCACCATGGACTCTGCAGGTCGGTGTCGATCTGCTGACAGGAAGGACTGGGCGACTGATTCACAGCCTGGCGCTGAGACGATGACGGGTTCAGAGGAGGAGGAATGAAATCATGTCTGGATGCTCCAGTTGTTTTGGTTCTTAAAGGGTTTAGCATCTCTCAGTAAACATCGCTGCATTTCCGGAGCTCCAGTGTCCCATTTCTCTGTCTTTAATTATGGATATTAGAAACGGCAACTTTGCCGCTTCGTTTTCTTCATCTAGATTTTCCTTTTGCTTTGCACAGGCAGGGTGACGCCCACTTGTCAAAGTTCCACTTTAAGGTCAAGATCTGGTTCAGAAAAACCACAGAAATGCTAAAAATGTTTTCATCTTCTGTTTCCCCCCCAACCCGTGTTGAACAAACAGGATTATTTGCAGCTATTTTTTAGCAGATTCCAGTTTCCATGTGGCACCTGTAGGAGTTGATTCTATTTATTTTACAGGTAGACATCACATAATCCATAAATATAAACACTGAAATATAGTTTAAAGAGGAGAAATTAAATTGGCTGAATGCATTTGAGAGAGATCTTTCTTTTTTTAAACATTCTTACTCAAACGTGCTTTTCCTCAAGAGTCCAAATAAAACATTATGATGCAGCATTTAATTTTTCGAATTAATGGGGAATTGTTGATTAGAAGTGGAGACATCACACTTTTGCAGTAAAGCAGAAATTTGGCTACTTTACATGGTCTTTAGCTTCTCATATTGGCGACTAGCATGGCTAGCGTTATTAAAAACGGCATCAGTGTAGTTCCTGGAGACTCTACATCATTACCTTTACTCTCAGATTTACCTAACGGTGCCAGTATTTCCATATCCAGCACAGCTGAGGGTAAACTCTCAAATAAAAAGTCAAGTTTGACGTTTTGCTCTCTCTCGCTCTGTCACAGCCTGAATAAGCTGCAGGCAAAAGTCGACATAAGGTTTGAAGATGGCCTCCTTTTCAAATGTTTAATTTCTTTGCGTTCAGAAAACGGTTGACTTTGAGTTGAAGTCGGTCGGCAGCGACATTCACTCCAAAAAGTTTAGCTGTTGTTGCCATGATGGAAAAAGGAAAAAGATTGTTTTTTTTAAAGTTTCTGACTGACCGGTTACCAATTGGGTTTGATGAAGCTAGAAGTTGGTCTATGTGAAATTTTCAGCTAAAAGTTTCCCAATTTGCCAGAAGCTTTTGGCAACCTTCAAACCTTAAACTGGTCCGAATGGACCGAACAAAGTTTTCTCACTAGTTTTCTAAAATGGCAGCTTGTTTCACGATCTGGTTGGGGGACGGCTGCTCTGCTCCAAACAGCTGCTCCTTAACACAAAAAATCCCCATCAAAACCCGGCACTTAATTGTCGGGGATTTCAGTCTTTGCAACCGCTTTTCCTGCTTCAAACCACGCAGATCTGAAAAGTCTCAAATTACGGACATCATGTCCCAGCATTTGCCGATCAGCACCAACATCCTCCTAATGTTGGTGCTGAAGCAGAAGCAAAGTAGGCAGATCTGTTTTTGTGTAGTCGGGACATCTTTCTGAGTTGTACCAGAGCAGGAACTCTGCTGCTGACCGTCTCTGTGTCTCCTGTCCTCTGTCTTCAGGAGAGTCCGAGGAGTTCATCATGAAGCTGATCAACCGTCCCATCATCGTCCTGCGCGGCGAGCACGGCTTCATCGGCTGCAGGAAGGTGACCGGCACGCTGGACTCCAACCGCTCCTCCTACGACTACTTCACCCTGGAGTTCAGAGACGGCGCCTACAGCCTGCAGGGTGGGCGCGGCCGTCCGGGCCAGATCCGCAAATCCCGCCGTGACGTCGCCCTTTTAACTCGCCTTCTTCTCCGTCTTTCGTCCTGCAGATTCCACCGGAAAGTACTGGATGGTGGGGAACGAGCAGGCGGTCGTCAGCAGCAGCGACGCGCCCGTCGACTTCCTGTTCGAGTTCTGCGACTACAACAAGCTGGCCGTCCGCCACGCCGGCGACGGGAAGTACCTCCGCGGCGACCACGCCGGCGTGCTGAAGGCCAACGCCGACGACCTGGAAACCGCCACGCTCTGGGAGTACTGAGGGGAACCAGACCCCCACCTGACCCGTCCACCACCTAAACACCTGCCTGTCCACTCCCCCTCTCACCCTCATATTAAACCCCGCCCCCTTTTTGACTATATGTTGACAAACTGCACAGAGAGATCAGCAAGGATAGAAGGAAGGAGCCAATCCTCTCTCCCTCCCTTCCTCCCTTTCCTTCCTTCCTCTGTTCTTTATCTTTTGTTTTTTTTTTTTTTTTTTTTTTGCCAGCTCTGCCCTCCGGTGCCAACCTGTATACTTCCCCTGCTTCGATCCGTCTTTGTCGCGCCACTTCTCGCCCCCTCCGCGTTCCTGCCAGTGGCGTCTGAACCGGACTGAAGGGTCCAGGTTCAGTGGCTGTAATCTAACTAGAGTGGATCTGATGATGGAGACGATGTAACTCGACGGGACAAAGCCCCGCCCACCTCCCTGCAGGCCCCTCCCCCCAGGCCCTTCCCCCCTGCCCTCGCTCCTTTCACTTCATCTCAAGTGTATGATGTTTAGATGTAAGACCGTGTTGCTCTCTAGCTGTATTGTCGTCGGTCGGTGACGAGGCTGAAGTCTGAGATCTTAGCAGGTCGTAGGAAGAAACCTAAATAATCCTCCGGAAGCTGTAGTCGGGGAAACGGTATGAAGGGTTAAAAGCCGGCGCAGATCAACACACGTTTCCGTACGTTTGCTGCACTCTTGCACAGTTGGATTCATTTCTTGCTCCAAGTCCAAGGCACAGGCATTATCATGGCTAAAAGTGTACAGCGGATAGGTGTAGTAAATGTAGTGAAACCATCAATAGATGCTTAGAAAGCTGCTTATTTTACTATTGTTATTCTTCTTATTATTATTATTTTTCTCGATTTTCCTCGACCAAACAAACACCTGAGCCTTTACGCAGACCAAACTTTTGATGCCGGGTAGACGAACCTCGCGTCAAGCTGTTCAAAACTGGAAACTGGTGCTTCACGTTTGACATCTCGGCTCCACACCGGAGAACATTTTCACCCGAAATCCGTTTCGCTCTTTTTTTTTTTAAATTATTTATTCTCTCTTTTTTCGCGTCTTGGTTTGAAACTGGACGTTTCATCTCGTAGTTCAGTCCCACAGAATCTCAATCTGCTGATTTATTTTAAAACTGTATTTTTTTTAAACCCGCTCAGACGACCAATCACTGCAATCCGACGAATCGATGCGTGGTCGCATCCGGCCCAATGTTTTTCTGATGTTCTGACTGTTTTCATAAAAGGTTCTGGGGAAACAAAAAGAAGAAGACGTTCCTCTCTGGGAAACTTTTGGCAAACTGGATGTTGGGAGGGTAAACGTGTGGTAATGACTGTGCCTTACTCTTTGAGTTTTGATTTTTGGCAGTAGGATAATTAATTAATAAAAACAAAAAGTAAAAAAAAAAAAAAAAAGAAAAGATGAAAGTCCACACATTTTGCTTTGTAAAACTGGAACTTCCTTTTGTATTATTTTGTACAATTTTTTCTGGGATATTGTGGAGTAATCTCTCTTGTGCCATTGGTTCACCTGAAATCCAGCAACCAATAAAAACTGGAATTTGGAACGCAACGTGACTTTTTCTTGTTCTTGTCTCGATGTTCAGTCCGTTCTGATCCACACCAATGCTGTTGATGTTGTGCATCCTCGGCCTGCGTGCGAACACGTTACGGCATAAAATCTAACGCCGCACATCCCGTTGCCATGGTGACGCACAGTGGAGGCAGCATCATGCTGTGGGAATGTTTTTCTTCCTTGGGGTGGAGAGAAAAGCAAAATAAAACTTAAAAAACCCTGGTGAGTACTTGAGACTGGGGAATGAATTACATTAGGGGGTCGTTGACCTTTAACCCCGAGAGCCACTTTTGCCTTTGAGCCAGAAAAAAATGCAATGAGACTGAAACTAAATATAGTTTCAGTCAGTTTTTATGAAAGCAAATTGCTTGAAAGTTGTGTCCACACTGTAAAAACACAAAATATTAAAGTATTTTTGGTCTAATTTTGGTTTTTGCTCCATTACTGCACATGTTCTGGCGTACTTGAAATAAAACCATCTTACACATAACTTTTTGGCAAAAAATACAAGCTTGTTTGTAGTTAATAATTCCTTAATATTAATAAAATGGCAGATGGAAACCATTACCTCTACTTGATTCATGCACTTTATGTTGCTCTGTTTATTGGTCAGAAATCCTAGTGTGGAAACTAAACCAACTTGCGTTTTTCCCACTAAATGTCTCTGAATGAAAGGAGAAAACCCGGCTGTCTTTTAATTTAATCTTAAATGTTCAAACCAGATTAAGTTTCCAGCTGCGAAAACGACAGAAAATCTTTTTTTTTTAAACCTCCAAAACATCCTGAACATTTTATTTTTGATTTGTCCCACACATTTCCTCCCTATCAGAAACACAGACTGAAGCAGAAATCTGACAAATTATTGGTGAGCGATGCCACAACACAAAAATACCAGTGTTTGCGAGAGCTCCACTAAAATGTCTGGGATCTCAACATTTAACCCGCAAACCTGCCAAAGTTTGACCTTCTCACCGCTGGTGTGATCCCAGTTCCAGGCCTGCTGCTAAATTGGGTTCTGTAAGTTATTTTTATTTATTTATTTTTTTTTTCCTGATTCAATGCCTTTATTTTTAAAACTTTTGAACACACTTTATGGCCACGATGTAGCTCCATACTGGCCTCCCTCCAGGTTCTGACCACAGTGTCTCCATGTGTTGTCCCACTGCACACTTTTATTTCTTTTTTCTTGTCTCCTGAATAGAGCCTTTGTGTTGAAACATTTATTCTGGAGCAGAGAGTGCGCGCGCGCGTGTGTGTGTGTGTGTGTGTGTGTGTGTGTGTGTGTGTGTGTGTGTGTGTGTGTGTGTGTGTGTGTGTGTGTAAAGTCGTGATGGAGCCTCCAGAGTTTTTCTCCCAGAGGACCGACAATAAACACGCTCCTCCTCTAATCTCACATCATTTTTTTATTTATTTATTTTATTTATTTCTTATTTTTTTTCCAGCTCCCAGGATGAGTCACTGAAAATATGACCCGTTTCCCAGGAATGCCTGCGGCTAAAACGCCGACCAGCTCAGACCAGGAAGGCTGGAGGCAGGATGGCCGCCATCTCCAGTGTTGCCATGGAGACGGCAGCCTCGAGCTGCAGGCTCGTATGACGAAGAAGAAGAAGAAGAAGAAGAAGAAGAAGAGGAGGAGAGGAGAGGAGAGGAGAGGAGCGTGGCTCCGTTTCTCCGTTTGCCTCTTGGTTGCAAAAAAAATAATTTATACTGCACAAAAATTAATGCGTTTCGTTGGATTCTAACGTGGAAAAAATAAGCACAAAGCGGCAGACAGGGGAATGATATTTGAAACATTTTTTTGATTTTTCTTTTTATTACCAGATGTGAGAACTGAGAAGTGCGGCGTGTCGGTGAGTGCCAGTCGATGACGCGCAGTCTGATCCCAGTGCAAACCCAGCTGCTCTGGGCGCTCATTAAATTTACATCCCCTCATTTAAAGATGCACACAAACAACAACAGACTGGGGATCACCAGCAGACACCAGCAGTCTCAGAGGAGGAAGCTTTCACACACACCCCCACACCCACACCCACACCCACACCCACACCCACACACACACACACACACTCATACATTCATCTACACAAGAGGAGTCCCAGATGCGGCACACGGGCCATTTGAGGCACCCAGGGGGGATTTTGTGTGGCCCAACAAACGTGATGCAAAAAGAAAAAAAAAAAATTTAAAAATGGAACAAATTTGGTTTCACACCTAAAGGTTTTGGAAGTTGATGGAGTTAAAAAATAAAAAACTGATTCCAGAGATTTTTTTTCCTACTAAGGATAGAAAAAATTTTAAAAAAGAAAAAAAGTACTCATCTTTTTATCAGCCATGTTTTCCGTCTTTAATTAAGCAGGACCAAACCCCGTTTAGTAAACTCTGCTCGATAAAGCAGCAACAGTTTTTGTTGCATTTAGGAAACTGTTGCAGTTCTTTAAATATGGATGTTATTCAAAAACCTGAGATTTTATGATTATTTCTAACTTCCTAAATTTATTTTGATTAAATGTTGTTTATGTTAAATGTGAGTTATGAAATCTTTTGTTTTAATCTAAATTTTGTGGCCTTCGATCACTTTTGACCTTTTTTTTTGACCCACGTGGCAAAAATGTTTGGACACCCCTGATCCGCAGCTTTCCCGGTGAGACATTAACTTGTCGTCTCCGTCCGCCTTTAAAGTCCCAAACGGATTCAAAATGTCAGCCAGCGAGGCCTTCCGGATTCGCCTCGCCGATCGCTGCTGCGGTCGCGGGTCTGAATGGCAGGAAGTTTTCTGGCGCTGAGCTGCTTTGTCCATCTCAGGTGTCGCAGAAGATATGTGGGTCGCGTCTGGTTCGTGTTTTCTCCCAGAACAAAAGCTCTAATCTGGGCCATCGAAGACCCATTGAGAGCTCCAGGTCTGGAGCCAGGGTTCGATGAAAAGCCTGTTTGTTTCCCCGCCCCCCCCAGTGCTCTTTCAAAATGGAGGACGAAGGTTACTGTACTGGAAGCTCGACTTACACATTTCATTGTGAAGGCTGGATCTGTTGCCAGATTTGATCCTGAACGAGAGGCTGAACTAAAGGTTAGCTGCTGGTGTCGCAGAAAGAGACGTCTTGTGGTGTACTTTACTGTACTTTATATAATATCAGTAAGATAAATATCAAATCTAAACGTGAGTCCACAACAAAAAATTTTTATGCTCAGATTCTTTAGGAAGTGCGAGGGTGGCACCATTTGCATGTTTAAAGGTCAGGTTTTCCCATTGTTGAGCTTTCAACAGGAAGAATAGCAGAGGACCGAGCACACGACCCTGAGGAACACACCGCGACGGAGATGGAGACGATCTGAACGAGCGGCAGAGTTCTTGTCCAATCAGAAGTTTTTCTGTTAGCTTCTGTGGAATGAATGCATAACATCAGGGGAAACTCACACGGTCACGCATGTCTTTTGTCTGCCAAATAAAGACCCCAACATAAAACGTTGCTAACAGAACGGAGAAACGTGTCATTTTGGACTGTAAAAGTTACACATGCCTCGGAGTTTGAAGTGGCTTTTAAATTTTCAATCCAAGAAAACAGACGAACTCGAAGTGTTGCCTTTCAATTATGACTAAATGTTTGAGTTTTTTCTGCTCATCCTTGCCTTCTTCACCCTCCGTCCGATCGGGGAAGATGGCCGCTCAGACCGGAGGGTCTGCGCCGCATCGGAGAGGTTTCCCTCCACTGGCGCCCCGTGCTTGCTCAGACCTTTTGCACTAACAGATTCAGTGGACAGAATCCTCCTAAAATATCATCTAGGATAGGATAATTTATGCCGTAGAGGTCGATCTTCTGTTGATGCCCAAAAGCTGGACAAAAAAGAAAAGGTTTTGGACAATTCAACTCCGTCCTCCGTGTTTTTAGTCTTCATAGCGTTGGGTGTGAATGAGCGACGGCTGGAATTGTCCTTTATTCTTTCCCTAATCGCATCAGCCGAGAAGGCCCTTTGTTGTCTAAATGAACAAAGTCATTAGCTGATAATTCTCTTTAATTCTCTACAACCGTAATCCATGAGCCTCATCTGGGAAACCCCGCGGCATAATCAGCGGCTTAAAAAACAAAAAATGGAACAGAGAAATTACGGAGTGAAGTTCAACAAAACAAAAACATACATAGCTGTTAAAATAATTCAGATTCAGGACGGCAATGATGGAAGGAAAGGAGCGGAACTGACCTTTGTGTATTTCAAATGTCTGAAATTTCCTCTAGTTCAAATTAAAACCAACATTTCGTCCTGCGTCAGTGGAGTCAGTTTGCCAGAAGTCACCAAGTCAAAGCCACGTTTTTATGTTTTCTGGTCTAATTGGGCAACGCAGAAAACTGCATGCAAGAAAAACACGAAGGCTATATCTGTAGAAACAACATCTTTGCTGTGGGGAATCGATAAGAAGAGGCACATCTTTTTATTTATTTTTATACATTTTTTTCACCTTCAATTTTAATTTTGTAAAAATAAATAAATAAATAAAATGTCCCCAAATAGAAAATGAGTTTAGTTACTGGAGAAAAGCTGGTTTAGAGTTTTTCTTCCAAACAGCCAGAGACGTTCATTTGTTGCCGGCTGTTCACAGGGTCAAAGGTCAGGCCCACAAGGTTACCGTATGACTTGAGGGTAGAAAACCGATCATAAGCATTTCTCTTTGGCCCCTCCCTGCGCTCTTATGGCGTCTGCTCTGAATGCAGAGCAGATCGCTGGAGCCATTTTCACTTGGCTGCTGCTTAAAGACGAATAATCTCGTTAAAATCCGATTCCGGCTCACGCATAAACAGAAGAACCTCCTCCTCCTCTTTCTCATGCAATCCGTGACTAACAGCATTTGGAGCCCAGGGCTGCAGCGGAGGTTCACCGTCCTTCGTGTTAGCAGCAGCGGCCTCCATGATGGCACCGGAGGCGACGTGCGGCCGAGCGATCTGCCACACTCACAGACACACTCGTCTCTCTCAGAAACGTCGCGACGCCAGCGCTGATGCTGCGAT